GATTTTCAGGTAGGAGGCCCGCCGCCGAGCCGGGGGGAGGACTGTCGGCGTAGGAAGTGGGCCAGGCCTGCCACGCGCGACCCTGACTGGCCGACACCTCTGGTTTATTTTAGAACCATGCCCTGCAGGCTGCGGTGGACTTCGACCTGCAGGATTTCGGGGTCACCGTGGAGGAGCTCATTGCAGGCAAGTGAAGCTCCCTGCCCTTCAGTACCCGCGGGGCGCCCCACCCCAGCCAGACCAGCCCAGAGCTCCTGACCGAGAGGCGGTTAAACCCACACGTGCCAGGCCTCGCCAGCAATTCACCGAAGGGTCAGGCTCCTGGACGTTTAGGGGAACCCCAGCCCTCCGACGGAGATGCGCGCAGGGCTGATAACGCCTCAGTTCCCGCGCGCGAGTCGGGGGAGCGGGGCCCTACTCTGTGCGGCGGGAGGCGCGGTGAGTGGCAGGACCTGTGTGCCTTGGGGCAGGTCGGCCCGGCCCCCGTAGGGTTCGGTAGGACCGGCTCGTCCGCGCTCAGGTGTCAGGAGAGGCCTGGGAGCCGTAGGGCTGCGGCGCGAGGCTGCTTCACTGGCCGCGGAGAAGCCTCCGCGGGCCCGGCCTCNCTGTGTTTATGGGGGGCTTTCCAGGTGCCTGGTATTGTGCTTCCCGAGCTACGTTCTCCTTGCGTTTAAAGTTCATAGCATTTGAGCTCGACACTCGCGAGCCCGGGTTACGCTGAGTCAGGGAAAGAAGCGCGGGGGCGGCGCTTCCAGGCAGCGCCCGGATCCGTGCGGTTCACCCCCGCGCTCGCCCAGGGTCCGCTGAGACGCGTTTTGTCCGTGCTGTGTCTTTTTTTTTTTTTAAACGTCACAAAAAGAGAATTGGTTCTCACCAGTGTGAGTGCCCTAGGCCCGCGTTCCCGATTGGACCTTAGGGTCTGGGTTGCGCGCGCGCAGGGCGCACCCACGAGGCCGAGCGCGGGGCCCCGCCGCTCAGAGCTCCGACCTCCCCGCGCAGCTGCACGCGACCCTGACCCAGAAGCAGGAGGAGATCGCGTCGCTCCGGGAGCGCAACGTGCGGCTGAAGGAGCTCGCCAGTCGGACCCGGCACCTGGCCTCGGTGCTGGACGTAAGCGGGGCGCGAGTGTGGGGCTCTGCGGGCCGTCGGGAATGAACTGTACGCCCGGCCCGCTCCCAGTGCTGGGCCCCGGCGGGGTGGGAGACGCAAAGGCCCGCGGGGAGCCCGCCGAGTCCCTTGCTCCAAGTGCGCCCAGGTGTCCGCGCGCCTGGGTGTCCGCGTGCCCAGGTGTCAGTGCGCCCAGGTGTCAGTGCGCCGGGTGTCAGTGCGCCCGGGTGTCCGCGCGNGTGTCAGTGCGCCCTGGCCCCAGGCGGCGCCCCTCCCGATCTTTTGCAGAAGCTGATGGTCACGCAGGCCCGGGATTGCGACGCGGCAGCCGAGCCCCGCCCGCTCAGAGCCACCGCCAAAAGGAGCCTGGAGGACCTGCTGGGCGCTGGGGGGCAGGACTGCGCGCAGGTGGACGCCATCCTGAAGGACATTTCCCAGCGCTGCGACGAAGCGCTCCAGCGCCGCAACCCCAAG